CAGGACAAGTCTCAGTCGGAATAGCTGGCTGTGAACTCGCGACCTAGATCCTTTCAGCTCATTTGCACTATCTCAGTTTGCCATCTGAATGTTCTACAGATATCATCCGTCTTACAAAATCGTCTCTATGCTCACACATGTCAAATCTTTTCATCCCGAGTTAATGTAGAGATATGGAAGCTTTTAAGCGTAAAGTTGTCCAAATAGTGTATTATGACCTTCATCGTGGCCAATGAGTAGGTATTCCTTTGACTAATTCAACTGTTACTTGGCATTGATGGAATCAGGAAGAAAATCACAAATTATAAATATTGTTTTGCTAAATAGCCTTTATGGGCTGAAGAGATGGAAAAGAAATATTAACTTGGGATGGAGCGACCTAAATGCCTACTAGTAATTGTTCGATGATGAAATCTCGCCCCTATTTACGAATAGTTAAAATCGTAATTGTGAGAGGGTGACGATTTAGGGGATATTCGCTAATATTGACAGAAAACCCAACTTCCGGCAGAGCGCAGCACATTCCGCACAATTTGCCTCTAATTGCTGCGACTGTGTGCTCTAGTTATCTATACCACAAATAGACACCGTGTTCAAAATGGCATTAATTGTTGCGTTATAATTAATAGTAATAATAGAACTATTGTACTTACAAAAATTCAATTGTTTATTTAATTAATATTTTTGGAATCTTGAGCAAAAGGTGTCATGGGAACTGAAAACCTGATTTGTCAATAATGTAAAAAGAAATTAAAAAATAAGCTAAAAAGTAGTAAAAAGTGTGCGTCGGCCGGGAATCGAACCCGGATCAACTGCTTGGAAGGCAACTATGCTGACCATTACACCACCGACGCTGCGTACATCGAACGCGAAAATTGCCATTATTATCAACCTACTTATCTTATAACAATAAAATATATTTGTAATGAACATTGATATTCAATTTATGTCTGCGCAGTAGTAATTTTATATTTCAATGAATAACTAGTTATTAAAACAACTAAAACGCGGTTCTCAGGTCAATGACGTCATCGGCACTAGAAGATTTCAAACGCTATTTTATGTAAAAACGCGACAAAGTAAGAACACTAGAGAGCACAATAGAGGTTGGTAAAAGTTCATATGACAGTAAATAGCGGGCTAATTAAAGTTGCACCGGCTCTAGAGTCATCTTAACCCGCGGCCGCCTACCTACCGGCGCATACCTAGACAGACAATGCCGACGGGAGAGGGCCACAGCGCACGCACCCGCCTCAGTGATGTCACACGGTAATGTCAAATACATACAACAGGCCAGCTTTGCGTTACTACAAAATTTATATAAGTCATTTAATCATCAGTCAATTCATCGACACAAAATGTAACTCTAAAACATAAATAAATAAATCTAAGAAATAATTAGGAAAACCAAAGAAGAAGTTGCGTCTTACAATTTTGCAAACATTTGATCCTCTGCGCCTACGGTCGACTGTGGACCGCAGCATCTCGAGTGCGCGCCGTAATCAGAGCTAATAGAAGCGCGCGTTCTTTGATCTGAAACTCAAAGGGAAGGGCCCAACTCGAGACGAGCGCGACACACCGGTTAACTTTACAATTGACACTGAATTCGGACTTTTTCCCACCCATGCAGCCGCGATGTTTAACGCCTTTTCATCTTATAATTACGATATTTGTATACTTAGTAGACTATGACACTGAAAAGTTTAGAAAATGAAAAACGGCTTAATGTAGAAAGTTGCCAAGACTTTTATTGCTTTTCGAAGTAATCTCCGTTCCTCGTCCATCGTCGCATTCGATGGAATCTGGTTCAAAGCTTCCTGACGCCTAAATGTTCGTGTTATAACTTATATTGTTTGAACTTGACTCATACCAATGCCTAGGCTTGCCCGTATCTGCTAATAGGTCAATCTATTATCTTCCTCTATCATGCGTCACACAGCACTAATGTTATCTTCAGTAGTCGCTGTTAAAGGACGTCCCTCACGCGGATCATAATTGAGATTTCTACGTCCACGCTTAAACTCGTTAAGCCAATTGTAAATATTGGCTTGGATGGGGCTTCATAAAGAAATACTAATCGCAGCATATCATAGCTTTGTTGTTGAGTAAGCCCACAACGATAGTCATAATAAATCATTTACCGAAAATTTTCTAGTATTCATTCTCGCGTTAGGTTATATTATTTAACCTTACGCGAGAATGAATACATTAGGTTACCAAAGAGTTCTAAAAATTACATTAAAAAAAGTTTCATTAGCAATGATTCTAACTGGCCCGGTCTAAACATTTTCAGTGGCTTTGGAAATAAGTTGTCGAGGTAAAAGCCAATAATATTAATTTGTGATACCTCTTGGAGCATCAGCAGTCCCCATGTTATAATTAATTCTTTTGTGCCTCGATCACGAAGCGCGCCGGCCCTCAGTCAACTTTCATTGTAGTTGGTTTAATTTGATTGTATTGTGATTCTAATCAATTTATTATTTTGTGAATTTTCTGCATCTAGGGTTATGCCACAACCGGTATCAATACACATGAAAAGCATATTAACTAGCTTATTACAAACAGTACGATAGTGAAAAGTTGTCGGGGTACACAGGTGCGGCAGGAGCCGATACTACATAAAGCACGTATTCTATTAATTTATCCGTTTATTTGAGCAAACAGAGAATCAATCACTGTCAAGCATACGATAGAGCGTATGTTTGTTCGCGATAATCCCCGGCTCGCCACTCAATAGCCGGATTATTTCCTGCGGCGTTACCTCTGCTGTTTACTTACACGTGTTCCGATAACAGACATTATCAAATACAAATTCGCCTTAAATCAACTTCCTTCAAATTATTCTTATCTCGAACTACGATTTCCCAAACACTCCACACTACAGGCTAGTGCCACTTCTGTGACTAAATAAGAAATTTATTAAATAAAAAACATCACTAAAGCTTTGGAGATAATATTCAGTTACCTTAGAACAGCATACTTATCAAGATACCGTTAACCTTGAACCATAAATAGTTAAACGGAAAGCAATTAAAAGGCGCAGGACGCCATTAGCGCGTCATCGGCGAGCTCCGACAGTGAGAGAATTATACCGACACACGGTAGAACTAATGTATGGTGACGTGCACGAAAACCAGATCGCCGTTTATAACTATCAGCGCTGCTTCAGCCCATCAATACATCTGAGCAAACAAACACACTTAAATTATGATTGCTCTACTATATAAATAAGGCCGGGGCACACGATGCTACGCAACGACTGGTTCTGAACAATAATTGTGTTCAAAAGTCAAAAAATCAAAAGTCAAAATCATTTATTCATATAGGTAATACAATGTACACTTATGAACGTCAAAAAAGAAATATACATTAATTGCTTCTAATTTTACATTTACTGCCAGTTCACAAATCAAGGGCGTAGAACGGAAATGAAGAACTGGCAATATCCTCTCCGCCACTCTTCGAGTAATCGAGTTAAATCGTGGCATGAGAAAAACAAATTGTATTATTACTTATTTACTATTTTAAGTAATAAACAATAGATGTTAACGAAAGTCTACAAATATATGGTGATCGCTCAAACGGTAGTAGCCTTTTAGAGGAAATAAAGGATATAGGAAATATAATTTATATAAACTTTCCCAGTCAACACACAAACCTTTTGAAAAGCGTGTTGGGTGTGTCAACGCCTTACAGGTATAGCAAGTGCAGCTCATTGAGCGGCCCCAATTGCCCATTAACTTCATACTAGCCAATTCAAAGGTGTTCTAATAGCTTTGAGCCACTTTCATCAAGAAATATTACTCCGCTTTTGTTTACCCTACGCCGTAGCTGCACCTTGTGTGCGAATTGTTTTATAACACATTTAGTAATTAAGCGAATTTGTACAATCGGGTTATTTCTTTGCAAATGTTTTAATGTCATGACATTCATGTTAGGAATTAGGATATCTCCGAACAATCAAGAGAGCATTCATTTTGATTCCCATAATTATAGGTAAAGGATAAACGCTAGGGCCGTAAATGCTATGCAATGCTCCACAGAATATATTCCGCACAAATGTGCAGACTGCAGCAAAGCCTCAAAATCCGGCGTATTGCGAAATTAACGCAACATGCCGTCACCACACTCCGGTCCGGTCGGATAACGTGCGAGCCTCTCCTAGGCCTGCAATTTCCGAAGTGTCACTCCGCACTTCCTGAGACCACGTCAAATCCAACATTTCAAATGTTGGATTCGCAACTTCATCTTATTTCGAGTATATATCATGATCTATATTGCGCAAGTAAAAAAAACTATAGTGTAAAGTAAATTTTAATTACAATAAAAAACAACTTTATAGTTTCGCGTTTAAAATTGATAAAAGAATCGCCCCCGGGTGGGCTCGAACCACCAACCTTTCGGTTAACAGCCGAACGCGCTAGCCAATTGCGCCACGGAGGCTTGTAAACACTGGTCTCAAATTTAACATTAGAAGTTATAACTACAATTCAAGCTTGACAGAGATAGCAATATATTTTGATTTCATTACGCGTAAACCTGTTTCAAGCTTTTATAACTGGCTCAAAACCTCCGACACAAAATCCAGCAAAAACACCCGTATTGTGTACCGAAGTTGGTTAGAAATCTCAAGACAAATCTACGGTGTGAAGTTGGATGGAATTTGTTAGTTATTTGTGTAAAGCTTACTATTAAGGTTATGTTGACAAGTTGAGTTTGTAGTGAATAATTGAGTAAATACCTAGAATAATTTACATAGCATTATCAATGTGTGTCTCTAGTAATGAATGAAGTGTACGGTATCCGTTTGAATAAGCGTGAGTGATAAAAAGTGTTTTTATAACGATACGACGCTTGTTGTTTTTGTTTGGTAACAACTTTGCCTATAAAATATACAGCGGTTTATTTTAAGTGAGTGAGCAAAAAAGGGGAATTATTCTGAAAGTTGAACACATTTGCTCTAATAATAAGTGAAGAGAAAGCGATCTAGTTTTGTAGAAATGGCAAACAGAGTGACGGGGACCTGTTGCACAGCTTCAGTTGAGAGGGCTGGCCTGCCAGGGTTGCTGCGTGATCTGCAGAGACTATCTGAAGATCAAGACTCAGCAGATATCGTATTTATATTGGGAACTTCGGAAGAAAAGGTCTTCGCACACAAAATAATACTGATAGCCAGGTAAAAAAAATTCCCGTACCGGGAATCGAACCCGAGCCTCCTGGGTGAAAGCCAGGTATCCTAGCCACTAGACCATACGGGATATACGAATTAGGTTGAAATACATTATTATAACGATTTTCGAGGATGTTATTTTTAAAATATTTGTACTATAGGTAATTTTACAGAATTAAAATTTTCCATAAATGTAAAAATAATTATAAAAAACTACTATTATTTATGTGTAGTTAAATTTAATAGCTACGTTGTTATATTAATGTTTGAACTAAAAATGTAAAAGTGAACGACGACAAAATATTATCGCCCCACGAATGCACGGTAATGGCGGCGTTGTGTTTCAAATGCAAATGAATCGACTCTCTGACGGCGAAACTTATAATTTGCCTAATGAAGCGCACCTCAACTTTGCTAATTATGTAAGAGGTACATTTATTAATTATGTATTCATCTTCGTATTAATTATTCAATGCTTTGTTTCGCGAAAAACACGCGACCTCCTTTACGTATTTCGTTTCGACGTATAACTAACGCCATCTACATTTATTTTCAATAATTAATATACAGATCACACCATAGAGGGCGTAATGCCAAATGTTTTAGCTCCTATTACCAGTTCGTAAAATAACTCTAATGTAGTCAATACACTTAAATACTAAAGTGTGTCCTTTTCGCGACACACCAGTTATAAAATATTCTGAAGGAAAATGGGGTCCGAAATCGTATCAGAAGAGGCGTTCGCATGAAATTTGCATGAGAATACCGTCCAGTAACATGTGGCGGTTGAAGAAGTGCCGAAACTTAGACAAGTTATGCAAAAAGTTATCCCGCTCACTTCGTATTTGTGAAGAAAACCTTTATATTGAGCTCGCGGATACTGACCGTGATGTATTACAAGTGCTGTCTTATAATTTTCTGTAATTTATTACATTTCTTCCAGAACTTCGAACAGGGAATCAAAGAAAAATTCTGAGCATAACTGATATGAGTTTTATTAGATATTGCTTTAAATTATAATAAGAGTAGCTTATATGACAGTTTCTGTTTCACATATATATCTAACATTTATTTAATTCTTTCTTTACAGCACAGAAAGACGATCTTGACTTGGTCACCTCAGTGGGTTTTATAATCTGTTTTAAATGACTTAAAGTTCACGATTGCAGCAACTAATAGATTGTATATTTGCACAAATGCACTTGTAATTGCACTCACCTAGGTACCTACCGCGGCCATAAAGCCTGCAGAGTGTATTCGTCTTTCAAGATCCGATTTTGATAAAACTGCAGTGTAAACCGCGGAAAGTAGTACAAGCCTTATTATACCTACTTATTTAATTGCAACTGAAGGGCTCGAAGATCTAGAGTCACGCCCTGACTCAGGTCGTAAGATTGAAGGGGGTCGAGATCTAGCGCTAAGTATGGCCCTTGCATGTAAAATCCAATAAACCCAGTTTCGACAAGTAGTAAAACTCAGTCTTTTGACTCATAAAAGACATAGGTACGTCGATGTCCGACGGATAAGTTGGTAGAAGCCAGTACTCGTCACCGCATAAAATTCTAAGCTCTATCTAACAGTCAGAAAATATTTTGTGTAAACAAATAAAAGTCAAAGAAATGAAAATTTGTAAATTGACAATTCTGCGTATGTTCTTTTCGCCACGTTCAATAAAATCTCCGCCTTGAACATTTTATTTCCTCCGAGAAAATAGCGCAATCTCGACTACTATTTCCGTGTTTTGTTACTTTTAGCTGTAAAATATTACACAACCCAACCGCATTATAACTTGAATTATTTTAAATATTATTCGTATATTTCTTATTTAGCTTTCGTTTTATATGCAATACATAGTTTCTGCTACGGTATGACACGGTAAAAATGGTATATGTACCTACTGATACCTCCGATATATGTAGTATAAAATGTTTGATGAAAAATACTTCGCATACTAATTTTATTTCAACATAGTATTAAGCACTAACTTTAAGGCTAAGAAAAACAATTCAATTAAGATCATTTCTCAGGTGTATATTTGTAGAGGTTTAAAAGTATACAGTTTAAAATATATCTTGCAATTATAATACAGTTTAATAGTCCTCGCGTGTATAAATTGACTGAAAATCTATTCAAATAAGAACTCTGATTGGCTCGACATTAGCAGCGTATAATGAGAAGATGAAAAATAACGTCGATCATGAATACTCTTCAATATCATTCGACTGAAAGCTGAAGGAAGCTGAATGTTCATTACAGTGCGGGCTGTAATTTGTACGGCAACTTGAATGGAGCGAAATTAGAATGTTCCTAGTATAGATGCCATTGCGCTGGCAACACTGACGACTAAATTAGCGTCATCAGTCTATTTAGCGAAATAATTCTTGTGGAACGCGACACCACGTCTGTAGATTCGACTCACAAAGATGTGAAAATTTTAGTTATCTTTCAAGTAGTCGTTAGCTACGAAATCTATTGTAATTTTAGCGTTTTTGCACATTAAAGAGTGCAAAAGGGAAAGATGCCTCTGCGCCCTGATTAATGGCTGTTTGCTAACGCCAAACTGTACACCACAGACTACGGCGATGCATTAATCGTTAGCCGGCTACGAGTTGCGACATTTCCAAACGTGGCGGACATTACGTGATCAACAATGGCGCCGATACAAATTGTGTTTGAGCATCCTTGACTGATTATCTTCTTACCGACACTTGTGCTGAGAACTATTTATAAGGTCATTATAAAGCATAGTACAAATTATGTTCCACCTAGCATTACCTGATAGTGGTAAAGTAACAACTTTAACAATTTTATGGAAAAAGTAATATTGTATCTATTGAAAATATATACTTTTAATAAAAATTGCTGCGTAGGGTTTCTTTATATCTATGACCACCGTGTATGGTGGGCTATCCGAGCAATTATGGAAGGATTTGTAAATTAGTAACAGCAAATATTCAGCACCAAAAACAATACGCGAAGCCACATCATTTGTGTGTGCTCTGTTGTCGAGCAAAGTTTGTCAGTTTGACGTTTCCTTCCCTGAGATTTACCGCGCGCTGACAGATTCATTATAGGAACAAAGTGTCGCATTTAAACTTTGCACAAAACATAAATACATGTCATTTTCAATAGTCACCACAGTATGAACATAGTCATATAACGTAAAAATATAGATTGTTCGTCTATACGCATTACATATTAATTTTTTTTAAAGTAAAATAAATCTTAAAAAGATTCATCGTAGTGTACAAGTGATAATTGTAGTTTATCTACTACTAGAGAGAAGGGGTTTCTTTTGGTTCCGATAAAATCTTAAATTTCTTTTGTCTATGTTTTTATTATATTCAGATGTTTGTCCGTATTTCCTTTTTAGCTAATATTTTTTTCATTATTTCCGATAACGATGCTGCTTTTCAGCATTTGCAAAACGTATTGTAAGTGATCAAAATTATTATTATGAGAATTGCTAACACATTAACCTTTATCAAAAAAAAATTCACAAGTGAATGTAAAAATTCAGTTTAAAATAATAAATTTTAACCTAACAATTTGAAATAATAATAATATATTCACAATATTATCCACATTTTATGTTATATTATAATAATACTTGTAAACAAACTAGGACTGATTATTATACGACAGACGATAATGAGGTTCGAAATTTAGTTTCACTAAATATTTTGTCAATTCACGATAAGTTAATGGGTCTCTTCATAAATGCTTAATATATTATATAAAAAACAATAAAAGTCTTCCATTAGGGCAAGCCAAGACATGTGTAAACTTACTTACATATTTTACAAAATCGCCTAGTCGTGTTTATGGACGAAGCAAGAGCCTTTCATAGAGTATAGAATAATTTGATTTGACGAAATAAGAATACCAATATATCGCTCCTTAAAACTACAAATACATATGTAATTTGAAGTGTCTAATACTCTACTGGACTTGGTGAAAAATTTGAGAGTTTAGTGCTGCACCCGATTTATCTAATTGAATGTTTAACGTTTTACATTATCGATGCTGAAGTACCGGAAAGAAGTGAGGAAGATTAATGGACAATGTCGGATATTTGGGCGTCATCGGAGACGACGAACCGCGAATTAATTACGCGCCGTGTGATTAACGACATGAATCTGGTGATCAACACCAGTAATCCCTGATGTTTATCGTGTTCATCTCTAATAACTCTAATAATTTGGGCGCCTATCTTCACTACATTTTGTACAACAATACTAGTAAAGCACTGTTAAGACAAAACAAACGATTAAATAAAATGTGCCATCGATTAAACCACTCGCTACCACGACGACTACCTTTGCTTAACTTACAACTCTTATAAATACACATGTAGTTAATAAGCGTTCAGGGTCCGCTTAGCGAACCGTTTATCGATTCTTTATTACATGATTAAAATTGCTGTAAAACTTTTTAAGCGTTCTCACGGTGCATCTCAGATTTGAGTTTATAATTACTAAAGCACGATACAGGTACCTCCTATATTCTGAATAATAATTAAAAGTAAATAATTTGTCAATTTAAAGTTAAATACACTGGTTGCAACATAGCAATAGCATAAAACTCAACATCCGCTACGATATTTTCTACTTTCAGAATTCCTAGCTCTATAACATAATGCTGAAGCGATAACAATGGCTTAGTCCTGCCATGTTTGCAACTTCTATTAAAGTAAAGCAATAATTAAAAGTACTCGACTCTGTTTTCATTAACTCTTGTTTTGTTTTGTGCAGATGCAAAAGTTTCCAGAACACAAAGCGCGGCGAGGTGTGTCGCATCCCAGGGTGCACAGTGACGCCATCTGTGGGAGCGCAACCCACGCCCGTGCGGATGTCGCACGTGCAACCGGAAACGTTTCGGTTGTTTATTCAGTACGTCTATACTGGAAAGGTGCTAATATGTTAATCTTATTCTTCACAAAGAACTAACGCAATTGTATTCTAAATTTCATCTTTATTTTGTTACTGAAGGTTAAGCGCCATCTGTCGCCAAATAGCGCCATATACTTACAAATCTTTTAAAATTGAATAAATTTTTTTAATTTGAGGTTTTTGCCATAAATATAATATAATATTCTCTGTGAAGCTGTTATTACAAGATTCGAGAGTATTTGAAATGATGACGTTAGCCGCGGACCTCGGGGTAGAGGACTTGCGAGCGGCCTGTGAAGACCACGTCACGTCTACTCTAAGTGTTGAAAGTGCCTGCACTTTACTTGCAGCTGCTTTGGAAATTCAAGATCGACCAGGTTTGGCTCATTTAAACATCAATTTCAATATTATTCATAAGTGCGATGGTGGTGTAATGGTCAGCATAGTTGCCTTCCAAGCAGTTGATCCGGGTTCGATTCCCGGCCATCGCACACTTTTTATTCTTAGAAAGAATATTATATTAAAGCCCTTTCGCTTTGCTCAAAATATGCTTTACTTCAATATTAACTCGAGATTCGGTATAATATTAATATTGAGTTATGATTAATGTTGTAAAATATGCCGACATCCAAAGAACTTGTCAAGTAATAAAAATAAGATACATATATACGAATAATATATAAAAAAATATTTTTGCGTGGCGTTGAAACTAGAATAAATTAGTATCCCAAAGAAAAAATTGTTTCCGTTTTTCTGCGAGCTTCATAAGTTTGACATTCGACTTGAGCGTTGACAATTGTTCAGATTCGGAGTATAATAATTTTGCGGAGTATATATTTCTTCTTGTTAAGTGTCAAAACAATTATAAAAACATGGTTCCTGATTGGACGTTAAACCGACGTGATATTGTATACCATTACCAATGACAATTGACAGTTAGTCTTGTATAGTCTGTCCTCTGTAGAGTATAGACATTAGCTGTAGACAACGGAATTCACAAAATAGACGCCGGGTCGTGTAAATTACAGCTTTCTTCTGAGTTCAAGTAAATAAGTATTAAATAAATTAACGAAATGGCGTACAAAGGCCCACCAAAAGTTCAAAAAGTGATGGTGCAGCCCATCAACCTTATCTTCAGATATCTACAAAACAGGAGTCGTGTACAAATTTGGCTGTACGAAAACGTAAACCTGAGAGTGGAGGGTCACATTGTTGGTTTTGATGAATACATGAACATTGTACTTGACGAAGCCGAAGAAGTTCACATGAAGACTAAGAATCGAAAACAAATTGGACGTATTATGATGAAGGGAGATAATATAACTTTGATACAAAACGTGAATCCGACTCCGTCTGGATGAACTTAGGTTATAAGTGATGGACATTCCTAGGTCTAAATAAATTGAAGTAATACAGTTATGGTGAACTTACTCTCAGAACTTGTGTTATTTTATAATTAAATATAAGTACCTTAACCAAATCGGCTTTTATTTTATTATCAAAAACTACAATATAATCAAATCCCAGTTTTAATAACAAAAACAAATTGTTACATTAAGATTTACTGTGCTACTTTACATAATAGCCCCGATAAATTGATTTGATATTAAGATTGTAATATTTTGGGCAAGGTGGTAAGAGTGCATCATCATTTATGGAGAGGTGCATAGCATTTATTGGTGATAATGCAGCGGAGTGTGTCAAGACAAATGCATTTCTGAATCTGCCTAAAGAAGCACTTGTAAAACTCATCTCCTCGGATTTTGTAAGTAATATATTATGATTTCTACAAAGACTAGCAAATATATGCCTATGTCACTACCTCACAGCTGTTGTAATAGGATAAAAAGTTGAACATTTTGTTTTTAACTTGACCTTGTAAATATAATAATAAAATAAAGTAGAAACTTGTTCCAATCAACTTTCTTCAAACTGCTTTTGTAGATTAGGATTCTCGTACAGATAATGTCCTCCAACAATATTTCCTTAAGAAATTATGATGTGTCCATCAAATTCTGTGTCAGTTGTGTTTAGAGGAAGAAGAAGTTTGGCGTTGTGGTCTAGCTTGGGCCAAACAACGGGCTGGAGTGACACAACCAACTGCACACTGGACAGAAGAAGAACGAGCAAGAGTGTGTCACCATCTTGCACCACTAATGCACCACATACGGCTCCTGCTTATTGGTTAGGCATGTTTGAATTTATAGCTGATGATTCACTTTATTTCAATGATTCACAACTTACAAATCTCTTCTTCTCTATAAACCGTAAACATGTATTTTAGTAAGTATTGTTAAAAAAAAGTTAATTATGGCATTTCATATGCAGCTAGTTCTATTACGGAATTATTTTAGATAGTGCAGTGTTTGCGGAAGAAGTAGAGCCAACTGGTGCGGTGCCGATGGAACTCTCCTTAGAGCGTTACCGACGTGCGGCACTCCATGCAGCCCGTGCAGATCCCGACAAACTCACTCAACCCAGGTATAGCCTATATCTACTTACACACATCACAATTGACCATAAAACAGAGTATTGTTTGTTCAACTTCTACAATCAGCTTATATACCAAAAGCGTACCAAATAAACCGTCATCGCACTTGTGAGTGAGTGTCCACGGGCGGCGAAATCACTTAACGAGAAAATAACTTAAAAAACTAGATAAAGCCGACGTTGCAGTCAACCTGTTAGTCAACTCTATACATTCCCAGAAGTTCGCATCTTTACTTTTTGGCGTTTTACATTTCATTAATAGCTAGTGTATAGTGTATACTGAGTACTGCACTGCATATGACAAATAAGACGCGGATAGGCCGCGTATTTAATACAAGACTAGTTTCTAATGAAAGAAATAGAATAAAGAAGACGCTAAATTTAAATTTAGATTTGTTGTCGATTTTAAATAAAAGCGAAAATGTTTGTTTTCTCTTAATTATGTAGACGAACTGTTTAGTCAAATCATGAACTGTACATACCTATTATTTTGAATTTTCAGGCTTGCTGTAAATATGTTTGCCGGATCTGTCATCCTACAACAAGACAAAAGTGGTTTCCAAACAGTAATTAACAGTTGGTAATTATTAACCTTGTATTTTATAGCTGTAGGTATATTATTATTATTACTTGATTCTTTATAGAAGTTGGGGTCGGTATTTTTTTCTTATAAGCTAGTTAATTTACTGCAGATGTTCAAATAGAACAGAAATTGTATTAATACTTCTCATAACATATCTTGTTTAATGGCAAGACTTGTAAAATTAAAAATAGATACAAATTATTTAGAAGGAAAATAGGTATTAATTAAGTATTCATTAAGCCATGGACTCCAAAACTTAAGTCTAAAAGCTAAACAAATTAAATTGGTTGGAAAAATCCCTTAGTAACAACAAATTAGTGACTGACTCGGTTGCTTAAGAAACAATTATTGTTATTAAAATAAATAATCACACCAACTGGTTTTCTTAAGTTTTGTTGCTATGTTTATTATACATAGCTAATGACTTATAAATTTATTACAGGTGTGGAACACCAAAGCAGTGTTGGAGGCTGGTCTTCAGGGCTTCAACACATGGCTTTTCTGCGCAAGCTTTTCATTCACATTGTGATGGAATATCACCTGTCTTATTACTCGTACAAGTACTAGAAATTTATTAAGTTTTATTTTACACTCAAAATTACAAAATGAATAAATAGCTATTGGCACTACAACCTGTGTTGTTTACTAGATCATTTTTCTTCATAGGCAAGTTGCTTGAGACATACTGTCAATATTTCAGTCCTAGACATGCTTTAATTCATTTTCTATTTTTTCTATCTGTCTATTTCAGTGAAACCCCGGTTAAGTACTTGCTTTACTGCCGAAAGCTGAAGTTTAGTAAAATTTAAATAAAACTAACATTAACAAATATCAGCAGGCATAAGGCAGGCCAGTCATAAATAATAAAATTTAAAACAAAACTTTAATATGATTTATTATTATCTAAAGCAGAGAGAATGTTTCAGTTGTCTCGGGGGCCGGTGATAGGTGGTTGGTGCGAGACGGGGTGGGCAAGTGGGGCGGGGGGTGGTGCAGGAGGATACATTCCCGCGGAGAGGGGGCTCCTCTTCGCTCTTACCGACCCACCCGCGCTGTATACGCTCACCAAGAAGGCGTTTGCGCTCTGCTACCATCCAGAGTATGTATCATTATTCTTTTAAGGGCATATGAGATGTTTAGCTTCAAGTCTAAAATTTTACTTTCATGTACTGTCGACAGATGCGGACCAATATTTGGCGCCGGAGCAGACTTACTGATCTCTAATAATTGCAATACAAATTCAGAGAGCTACAGCAACCTCCACTCTTACGGCGATTCGTTGTCCCCAGCCTCTCTAACACCCGAGTACAGCTTCACCGTTCGGGACTACGAAATATTCACTATTAAACATAATTAACTGTGATTTTCATATACATATATTTATATATATATAAATTTTGATTTATTGTTATATTCTGTACACATTTAGAATAAAAGCTTTACATACGAAATTGCTGAATAAAAAGTATTTTTATTTTATATATCATTTTGATGATGATTCAATTTGGAGTATCTAATTTCATATTAAATTCAATAAGTATCTTTAGGCGGTTACCACCAAATAAAGGGTTTTTAAAAATATATAAATATATTATATACAATAATTATCTCGTTTTATTTTGTTTAAATAAGCTTTCCCTGGAATAGATTTCATTGAAACTGGCATAAAGTTAAAACTATTGACATAATATTAAAAAAAATTAGATTTCATGCAACTAAGTACGCATGAATTATGAAATCTATTCTGAGCATGTGACATGGGATTAATTATTTGATTAGTTATTTTCAACCATAGCCCTTAAAGTAATATGACAGCCACATTAATTTAAAATATGTATTTAAATATATTATAGTAAAAGTTTAATTACATTTGTACAGAGAAAATATTATGGTTAATGGTAACTTGCATGTAAAATCATCAAATTAAAATTGTCACTAATATGTAGATTACATCATCAAGAGAAACATCGAGCTTACATCTGTGGAAACTAGTGCAACGCCTTTCAAATAACGCTATATTAGGGAAACCTTCGAAATTGGCGAAACGAAGTTTTTGTTTGAATTTGCTGTAAAATAATATTTTTATTCAATTAGGTGATCAGAATAGTTAAAACTTGTATATATTTGTAATTTGTATTATTATTTTTATTCTTCTTCTACTTTCTTCGAGTTGGGGTAAGCTTTTCGGATTTTTATGAACGAGCCTCCGGACCCGTGGGGCACGGCGCCCCCCGCGGTTGCATTTATCACGATTTCCAACGAATCCGGTATGGATTCTGACTGCTCTTAAATAAAAATTTGAATTAAATAAAAAATTTACTGAGAATGTCACATCTCTTATAACCAATAGAAAAGTAGAAAATGGCGGATTGTTCACAAATTTCAATACATTTCACAAAATATTTTTTTTAAATACTTAGACGCGTTTCCGGCAGCAAAATTCACTTGGAGGTATTCCAATCAAGGTGCCCCGAGACTCCTGTATAATCAGTATCATCAGATTCGGGCGACCGATTTTAAGATCCAACCTTAATCTATTGCGAATTAACAGCACTAGCAGTCATAAAGAGAGAAAAAAAAAAGTGATATTATCTGTAAAATTTACGCGCGGCGACGCGATCAATAAACTTATTTAAGAAAACTATTGTAATAATTATCCCTCTTTATATAGTTTCACTAGCAAACCTTATAAAATTATAAAAGTAATTTAATTAAGAACAATTTTGGATAAAGTAAATTTGAATTAGATTAACATGTATGTGAAATAAGGTCAGTGTAGTGGTCGTTGCATTTTGTTTTGATTTTTGTACTCAAAATTAACAATGCATCGTCGAGGTGGCAAGCGAATCCGAATGGATGATCCTCCTCCAGAGTACGTAAATCCTATGACACCAGCAACTCCTATGACGGACTATGGCGGGCAATCTGTTCATGAACCTAATCCGTCTAATATAAACTATTCTGGGTTTAATGCTGGAGCTCCAGTTAATTCAACTGCTATAGAAGCCCCGAGAGAAGAGCCGGACGAGCATGAGGACGAGTTAAGGTCACCTTCACCGGCAATTACAAAACGCATAACGCGAAGCAGGGGTCGAGGTGGTGACGGTGGCTATGTCGGACGATTAGCAGAGTCGCCTCCGCCGCCCCCAGTTCGACCCAGACGCGGTCGAGGTGGTCGTGGCAGAGGCCGAGGAAGAGGTGGAGCTCCACCACCACCTGCATACTCTCCACCCCCAGTTCTCCTGCCAGGCGATGATGAAAACAGTTTATATAATCTATTGCGATTTAACAAAACTGCAATTCATGTTAGTATATTAGCTATATTGTAACAAAAACATCTACAAGTATTCACCAGTTCTTGGCTGTAACAAAGATCTGAACTACACAGAATCAACAAAATTTTCATTATACAGACCCTTTATCTACCTGTAATACAATTATAGACATGACACTCTTATATTACACACTCTTAATCATTAGCTGTACCTAGTTAATATATTATTTCCATGATGAAAACAAGTTTTAAAGTATCTGTGAGTACTTTTGGGGAAAAAAAATTAAAAGTAAAACTTAACCTTTTGGTATGTACTTAATTTAACATAGTAAAAATCTGTAATTAGCCTTAAGGCACTACTAAATGTAAGCTGTAGTAATATAGATAGGCTGTAGATTTTGGATCTTAAATAAGTATGTATGTACTACGATATCATACAATGTAACCAACCTTCCAAAATGACCATGTAATTTTCTCTTGTATATTAGCAAGTTGTTGACATGTGGATTGAGGAATATAAGAGCAACAAGGAAAGTGCACTAGTGCAGCTCATGCAGTTTTTCATCAATTCCTCTGGGTGTCGAGGAAAGGTCACACCGGATATGGCTCAAATGGACCATACACTCATCATTAAGAAAATGACTCAGGAGTTTGATGAGGTATTCTTAAAACAATGTTTATCAGAAATTTTAGAATTTTCACTTAAGTTCGTTTTATTACTACACAGAATGAACTTGCTTGCATCTTTATTTCATTAAAGATGTGTTTATAATTGGTAAAGGCAACTAATTTCTGCATTCCACTGTTTTCTTTCTTTAGTTGAAAATCAATTGGAGCAAGAGCTTTTGAAATCTTAAATGAAAGCTTATGTAAAGCTTAATAAGTTAGTCTATAGTCAACCTTAATATAAATGTTTTTTTGGAATACGGTACCTATTAATGAAAAAAACAAAATTTGTTTACCATATTATAGTTCTTCTGATTAGTGTTTGTATTCTATGTAAGTTTGAAAAGTAAATATCTTATTTGAATCTAGGAAAGTGGTGAATATCCTTTAATAATGTCGGGCCAGACTTGGAAAAAATTCAGAGCAAACTTCTGTGAATTTATACAGAAATTGGTAACAATGTGTCAATACAGCATCATCTATGACCAATACCTCATGGACAATATCATCTCACTGCTCACTGGGTTGTCTGACTCTCAAGTTAGAGCATTCAGACACACTGCAACATTAGCTGGTGAGTAATAAAGTCACATTTAATTAATAATTTGCAGATTTTACTAGCTTATTTGTGTGCTTGCAAATTCAAAATGTAAGTAACACATTTAAATTGAGGTTTAATACTGTACTGGTGTAAGTAGGTATTTAATCACTACATCATACTTCATATATGGACAAGTTCTCAAGGATTTGCCCCTTATGTAGACGTTAAAAAAGAACTTCTTCAATAACTGTGTTGTCTGTTTATTCCTCTTTTTGCAGAGAACGCAAAGATTTTACCAAAAATGTCTAGCAGAGACTATCTCTTCTAGCACTTTTTTTTTTTGAGAATTTATAAATGATAAATGACAATAGTATAGCCTTAGCCCATAGCACCTACTCTATATTTGGAGGTCTCACAAGTGACTATTATCTATAGTGTTAAAGTTTTTAGCAGAATAAAAAGCATACTGTTAATTAGTTGACAGACACTTAGTGGTGTTCTTCTCTAGAAAACTATGAATTGGTGCGAATACTAGCTTTCTTCAGAATACAATGTTCATTCAAGTTAATTAGTTCTTTAGAAAATTTATATTAGTTTTTATCTCATTTAAGACTTGCCTTCTTTATTTAGCTTATGACAATATCCAATCGCTTATAATAATATTATCAATGAGAATGATCACCCCAGATATTCCTGCCAACGATAAAGTTATTCATATTTGAGAAATACCCAGTCTAACCTCTACTTCAAATGCCAAACGGTGAACTGTATAACCCTTGTGTAGGTAAATGCACAATCTAAATCATCCAGTGTTGTGATATATTTACCCTGCTGCTGCAGCAAATACTCCATTTAGTGTCGGATGCGTATCCGACTCTGTTGCCGGATAGACTGTACTCCTTGAGGCTTGAGGTAACACACAATCGCTTCCTTTACGACGAGCTTCAAGAAACTTTGGACTTGCACCATCTTTAAAATGAATACTAATTGACTGATATTGCTCTGTCCATGACTCTTTTACTCTTCTTTCATTTTCAACAGCCAGTAAGGCTCATCCATTAACACTCTGACTACTGAAGATACTGTGATTTTATTTAGACTTAATTAACAAACTTGTAAAAAGGCTGTATGTGAGCCTAATTACAAGCTTTCTCATTAATTAAAGTAATACATGTTCCAATATGAGATTAATTTAAATAATTACTATTTCCCTCTAAGCAATTTATTATTTACTTCTTTGTATTTTTTTTAAATGTGGCCGTTTTTGTTCTAACATATTGAATGTTAGAACATGCTACCCATGCGTCATACTCGTGAACGGGTGCTACTTGTGGTGACTGGTCATACTTCAATTCGTGTATGCGGTGATGTTAGTTATTTCGACTATGTATTTGCGTGTTGTTCCCACGAGAATGTAAGTGCGTGCTCCTATTTTACCATGTTTGTTTTTAATTAATTTTATTATTATTTATTACTTAAGATGTCATGTGGAACATGGTGTAACGATTGCAGCTCCTTACAAACATTGTGTAAAAAAACTTGGCGATTAAAAAGAGTGGCGGAGAGTTTATTGCCAGTTCTTCTCGTCCGTTCTACGCCCTTGATTTGAGAACTGGCAGTAAATGTAAAATTAGAAGCATTTAATGTATATTTCTTTTTGACTTTTGTTACACTGACAAAACGAAACTCCTGCACTACTACTAACCTCACCACATCGATAACACGCAATGCTTTAAAGTCCATCGGTACCCGTCTCGTCGAAGTAGAATATAGTATTTCAAAATTAATCTGTTCTGTAATATTTTTCTTTTATGCTTTATTTCCAGTGATGAAGCTCATGACTGCACTGGTGGACGTGGCGTTGCTGACCAGCGTG